AGATACAAACACGAACAAATGAGTAATTGGGAGGAAAAATGAACAGATGAAGGGTTACAGAACAAATTAGTGATCACTGGAATTTGGTTCTTAGTAATGAAGAAAATACGTTGAAAAGTAAAGTGTTTACTTTCTATGTTCCTAGGATAATATATTTTTTATTATACTATATTTATGAGTTGAGGATAACCTTCTTTCATGAAAATGACAGAACAGTACATATGAGCAAGTACTTCAGACATGAAAAGTGAAACATATCACCATTTATGTTATCATTTCTGTAATCATGAATTCTTGTTTTCATAAATCAGTATTTCTGAGAGCTTTAGAAAGCTGCTTACCTGCTACAGCACTGTTGCTAGAATTGTTCCAGCTGAGTGGAGATGCATATTGAAAACAGTAATTTACTAAAGGTGTGACAAATTATCTGTGGTGATTTAATGCAACAGTGTGAGTTTTAGCTTATAAGCACCAAAATTCCAGGAAAGGTCACCTTACTGGTTTTTAATGTTTATGAGAGGAGGTCTTCCTCTTTGGTTTTGGCATTCAGGGGTTTGTGGGCACCATTAAATCTGAATTGGATATTTTCCTTTCCCCCTAAATACAGTAAAACTTTGGATTTTGACTAAGTTGGTCTGTGAGTATTTCACAAGATGAGGAAACTTATCTGACAGATTTCAACTTCATAAAACTAATGATGTCTTGCAATATAATTAGTGCATGCTCAGGCATCACATGTTCCCAACTGGTTCTCCTTTCAGAGCTTTGTTATACATTGTTTCAAATCACGAACAGAAGGAATTATTCTGGAAAACCAGGGATTCACTATAATTTGCTGTGAGGTGAAAATAGAAAAACTCTACAGAATTTCAGTGTGGGAGTCCAAAAACACTTTGAGGGATACATTTCTCCATAGGTGCCCTTCTCTGAATTTCTGCCAAGGGAAAATGTGTAACCACCACCGATGAAGGGACAGTCCTGAGGTGTTTATGGACAGTGCAGGGGAGACAGCACACTAAGCACCATGAGTCCTGAGACTCCTTGACATGAAAATCTGCACTGTTGTCTACAGCTCTGGCTCTAACAAGTAGCAGTCTGGAAGGTGCAACATTCGGCCTAAATGTTTTCCCTATAAAGCGAGGAATGCCACTGTTTTTCCCAACACACAGTTGACCCTGAAAATCAGAAACCGGGAGACATCATGAGGCTCCCCCACCTGTAAGGCGATGGTCTTCAGGCCTTCTAAAAGTTGGTGCATTTTCTCTTGGATCACTTCAATGTTCCTCAGGAAACTCGGGGGAACCTTCGGCAGGCGAACAGCTTCAGTCCTGAGGTGGCTCAACGGATCATCCCAGGAGCGCATCAAGCGGATCAGCAGGTTGATCAAGTCTTTATCCTGAGCAGCCAGGTAGGTGGACACCATAACAAAAGTGAGACACAACCAGGTTAGTTACACGTGAGCTTCCTCAGAGAGGCTGACCTCAAAACTGCTGTGATGTCCCTGTGTGTGTGGACACTTTTTCTGTAGACTGTAGATGTTCTTAAAACTTACAAGTTAAGGCATTGGCCTAAGTACTGCACAGTAAAACAAACAAGTACATGAAATGCACTGATGAAAATGAATAGTTTTTCCAACAGGATTTCTAATTGATAACAATTTTTCAATTGTATTTTCACTCTGGACTTCCATATTTTCATTAAAACATGCTAACATCCCATTTATGACAACAAGTCAAGCAAGCAAGATTATACCATAAAAAATAGAGCCTGGATAAATTACTGAGCTTTCATAGGTTTGCTCGCTGTCATTAGAACAGAGGACAGAGTCACACCGGGAGCACCGTGCAGTGACATTGAACAGGACACACACAGTAGGGAGATTTTCAGTGAAGATGAGGGTGGGAGCAAGTGCAGAGTGGAGAAGTTTGCTCTGGAGGAGCAGAAACAGAAACAGAATTGGAGTGACGGGAGTGCAAGAGAGATGGTGCAGCGCAGGTAGAGTCAGGATTGTGTCCTCCACCCATGCAAGAGTCACGGTAACCCCCACTAGGATAAGCTGCGGCTGCATTTCTTACATAAAATCCTAGGTGTAGGGGGTTGGTTAAATTGCTATCGTCTGCATTTCTAACTTAGAGATCTTGCACAGTGTTCATTCAGCACTAGGTCTTCCCTGGGGTTTCCAAGTACAGTGTGAGCGTTCTTGGCTGCTCCCTCCCTCTTGTCCTCTCTGCAGCCTGCTCTCACCGCTGACCACAGAGCCCTGTAGAGGTTACAGGACTGCCAGGCCAGGCACTGGCTCCTCAGTGCTGGTGGTGCTGGGTTGGGACTCACGTGCATCCTCAGGGCCTCTTCCTTTCGTTGTGGAGTAGAGATGGAAGCTGTGTGGCAACTTTTTATAGGCATAAGATAGAAGTGTGGGTCTTGGACATACAGGGTTTCCTAGAACCAAAGGGACATCCAGTGAGTTGGGTTTGGGAGTGAAAATAGGAATCCAATCGCTTAATTATGTTACATTTAATGGATGTGTACGTGAATCCAAAGGCAGGTGTGCAAAGTCTGAAAATACAGAGTTAAGAGAGTAAATTTTCACCTATATTTTCCCATTAATTCTGGAATCTCATTGTTTCCCAACTAACATTATGAAAGCCCACCCCCTCCCCTTTGATATGCCCTTACTTTCTCAGCCTTGCCATGACCTAAGATGTGGAACACAAGCACGAAAAACAGCAAAGCTGCAAAAGGTAACTCTGTGAACTACAGCTTCTCTCCAGGATTTGTCCCAAAGGTCGTGATACATATGCATCTGTATTTATCTATTTAATCTTTTGCTTCTCCAGAGTTCAAACTGATAAAATGTCTTATATACATATAAAAAGTATTCTTTTCTTTCAATTACATCTTAATCCACTCACCTCGACCTTTCCACCTGATCATGAATTAGAAATACAGGTTTTGTTTATTCATTCACTTGTTTATTAATTTTTATTTACTTAGTTTTGGTGCTCAGAATCGAATTCAGGATCTTGCACTTGCCAGGCACACACTTCTGCCATTCAGCTGTATCCCCAGCCAAATATCCAAGTTCTTACTGTGAAAAACTTGAACCGTAAAACAAACAAAATATTTTGTAAAATTCCAGGTAATACACTGGATTAAACAGCGATAAATCACAGAGACCAGTAATAAGCAAATGTTGTGGAAGTTGAATCTTTTTTGTCTGGTACTGGGAATCGAGCTCAGGACCTCGTGCTTCCCATGCAGTTGCTCTATCACTGAGCTAAATCCCCAGCCCTTATGAACGCTGAATGTTAAGAAGATTTTGAGGAAAACTCAGGGCAAGCTGAAAATGCAAAATGAGAAAACACAGATGCATAAAAAAAACTGTAATGCGGTTGTGTCACAAAAACTGGCCAGTTCTCTGTACAGTCCCTTTGTGTAGTCAGCCCTAACCCACTGTCCACTGCTCTGATCACCTGTAAAAGATACCTCACACTGTGAAATAGACTTTATCTGGAAGAAAGAATCAGGCTCCACTACTAAACCACCCCTTCTGTGATCTCCTACACTGGACATCTTGCATCAGTCCTTCCTTGAGTATTGTGTCTCTGAAAAGTTATTATTTCAGATTCCTTTCTCTCTGACAAGAAAAAGAGTTTAGTTAAATCTGTTTAATGTACCTAGTCCACTGCTCAGCTCTCCACACTGTTTGGACATCTGCAATGGCCCAGTGAAGAATGCCATGGACGGGCCCTGCAGGGAGGAGGAGGAATCCAGCACACTTCCTCAGCCCCAACTGAGCATGATTTACATCAGGAATCTCCGTTTTTAAAAATAAAGTGAGCCGAGGAAAGTTTTCTTTAAGAATCGTCACATTTTTGATGTAGATTTCATGAACGTTTCCTTCCTAGATCCTGTGCCACATTTTTATTGGTTCCAGGCTTTCTTTTCTCCATTTATCAGTAGTATTTTAAATTTTGACACTGCACTTAATCTTAGCCAAAGGACAGAGAAGCAATAGCATTTGAAATATGAGTGATGAGGGTGTTCATGTTTAAATTTTACTGTTAACCCATCATTATTGAGATGGTTCCCTTTGAGAAGAAGGGAAAAGAGAGGTACTTACAAACTGCATATAGAGCTGTGAAGCGAGGATGTGGATGTAGTTGGACAGAATTATCGCACGATCAACCAGATTTGGGTTAGACAGCATCCTTCTGGGATAGAGATCAGTCTCATCACTGTAGTTAGACTGGGAGGCCACAGTCTCCCACCAGAACAGGCTTGACATGAGCAGCAGCATTAAAAGTGACCCTGGTTGAAACAAGACACACAGACCACTCTAGATCATCACTTTTCTAAATCTTTCCCAGCCCACTGATTTAATGCTGTACTGTGGGGGTAGGGAAGAATTGTCACATTCCATTGTGCCATTTATGTATACAATTACACTTGCACAAATACAGAGATTAAAAAGTAGAGCTTCCCGCTGTTTTATATTTCCCTTGAAGTGCTCCTTACTTTGCAAACCTTGGGAAATTACGTTAATTGCTCTCATGGTTTCTTGGGTCATCTCTTAACATAGCTTAATTTGGAGAGTGTTTCTGTAGAGTTTCAGCTGTCAGGCACTGTGGGTTCTTGTAATTCTTACATGTACTGTTGATATTTGCATTTTGCACATTGAAGTTACAAGTACACCATCGTTTATGTGTTTATCTCATTTTTGTTCTTGTTAGGAAGGCATATGTCCTTGCTAATACTGAGTGTAAGAGTATCGTGTTACAGCAGTGACGGTACGGACAGGAATCTTTAATGCACTCTATTAATTCTATGCATTTGCTTGACAATGCCAGAATCTTTAGAATTTTTTTCTTAATTTGAGCTTTACAAGGACTGTGGGAGACAGAATGAGCCTTGGTTGTATAGAGCATGAATTATATCAATGAATCACAAGGTAAGTGATTTTCTCCAACTCCTGTTATTACCAGGTGTCTTGGTTACTTTTCGCTCGTTTCTGAGGCAAAATACCCAACGCCCAAAATGAAGGAAGGAAAGGTTTAGTTGGCTTACAGTTTGTGGAGGTTTCAGTCCATACTTGGCTGGCTCTCAGACAGAAGAGATTAAAGCACCAACAGCAAAGGGGGGAATGGCAGCCAAACACCAAAGCAGGCAGAGCAAACTGGAGGAATGGCTGCAAGCAGTTTCTTTCCCTGCCTTACATTGTAAACAGGATACCCCCACCTAAGGGGTGTGTAGCTCTCACATAATCTCCATGCCCTGATCTTCCAAATGCTCAGGATGTATACAAAGTAAGCACCATGGCTTCCTGCTGAGTCACTTAGCCAAACCTCTAGACTCCCCAATTTCACATAATGTATCAACCATAACACCAGGTTTGAGAGGCAGCAGACCCATGCTCTGCACCTGCCTGTTATCAGGCAGCATCTGTGCAGCAGGGACGATATCAGCCACTCTGGACCACAACGTGCACAGAGCTTTTTATTGCCAAATGTGAAGCACAAGTCTCTGCTGTAGGTGTTGGATAATGGGCCCTCAGAAGTGTGATTTTATCCACTTTCTCCACTTGATAAACTCTCACATCAAAATCTTGACAACGTTCAGAGTTGGTTTCATGAAGTTGCTATTTCAGTAGATGGAAAGGTATAGAACACTAGCATATCAATAATTTACATTTGCAAGGGTTAAGAGACATCAGGCAGCTACAAATTAAGTTCACATTTAACTTCAGTGACACAATTCCAAAGGGTTTCTGGTATGACAACATAATAACCAGAAAATGAGTCCCACGCAATCTTTGATAAAATGTAAGTGGAAATCTCCAAGTTAAAATTAGGGAAATGTTAATGATTTAGATATGAATAATCCCTAAACAAAATGCCTAAGTAAATATACATGAATGTTTTCTATTATGAAATGAAAATAAATATCAATTTAGTCA